TGAGTCTGGGAGAGCTGCGCCTGGGGGCACTGTGGGGTCTGGTGAGCGGTCCCCCTGGAGCGGCCGTCTCCGCAGTCGCTCCGCTGGTGCTTCGCCGCTGCACCCTAGTCGTCGACCCCCTCTCTCCCCACAGCAGCTGCGTGAGTGGTATGCTGCTCGTCAGGGTCGCGCTGCTGGAGCTAGGGGCCCTACTGCGGGAGGCGCTGGCGCTGGTGCCTCTACTACTGGAGTCGTTTCTACTGGAGGTTCTGGAGCTGCTGAGGGTGCTGGCGCTGGAGGTTCTGGAGCTGGTGCTGGTGCTGGAGGTTCTGGAGCTACTGCGGGTGCTGGCGCTGAGGGTTCTGAGTCTGCTGCTGTGCGGTCTCCGTGGAGTGGCCGCCTTCGTCCGCGTGTGCCTCTCACCTCACAGCAGCTGCACGACTGGTACGGTCGCCGTCAGGGTCGCGCTGCTGGAGCCCGGGGCTCTGCTTCTGGGGGTACTTCTGCTGACGTCGCTGGAGCTGGGAGTGGTGCTGGTCCTTTGTCTACTGGAGGTGCTGGAGTCGCTGGTCCCGGAGGTGCTCGTCCTGGAGGTACTGGAGCTGCTGGGGCTGGAGGTGCTGGTTCTGGGGGTGCTGCTGCTGGAGACATTGAGGCTGGAGACCCTGGGACTGGAGGTGCTGGTTCTGGGGGTGCTGCTGCTGGAGGCACTGAGGTTGGAGACCCTGGGCCTGGCGGTGTCGGCTCTGGGGCTGGAGCTTCTGGAGCTGCTGGAGGTGCTGGAGCTGCCGGTACTGGTGCAGCTGCGCCGACACGACTGTTCTTCGCTCCGCCGTCTCCGTCGTCTCTGCCGCCGCCTGACTCTGTTCTTCGTCAGGTTCTTACTCTCCCGTCGTCTACTGGTCTTCCGTTACAGCCTGGCTCACCGCTGCCTGCTCCTTCTCCTTACACTGAGCAGACCGGTAGTCTTGCTGAGCGTCGTGAGCCTGCGTCGCGTCCTGTCTCGCCTGTTCGTCCTAGTCGTACCGGTCGTCGTGTTCCTCGTCCGCGTCAGCCGGCTGTCCCCGGCACACGCCTTGTAGCCCTGCGTCGGTCCCCTACTCCGGAGCGTACTCCTCTTCCGTCTCCCCCTGCGTCCTCTTTGCCTGACGTCGCGGACCCTGAGTCTGACCGGTTTCGTGCTGAGCACCCTACTGTCACGCGTCTGCTAGCCACTGTTGTCACTGACCCGTCGTTTGAGTCTGCTGCTGCGTCTGCCCTGGTCGCTGAGCTTGTTGACTTTGCTGCTGCCTGTCGTCTAGACTACGCTGCTAGTCTTGTTGCTGAGTCTGAGTCTGTCTGTCCTCCGTCCGTCGGGGGTGAGTGTGCTCTTGGCACGGACGTCCTTGAGGACAGACAGGAGGACCTTGCGTGTCTTGCGGCTGCTGCGCCTCATCTCGTGGCCATGCTGCTTGCCCCTGAGGGAGACCCGGATGCTATAGACATCCCCACACCGCGCTCTTACGCTGAGGCGATCGCGGGTCCCTACTCCTCTCAGTGGCAGGCAGCCATGGACGCAGAGATGGCATCCTGGAAGTCCATAGGCACTTACGTCGATGAGGTTCCCCCTCCCGGGGCGAACATCGTCGATGGCATGTGGATTTTCAGGGTGAAGCGGCCGCCAGGTTCTCCGCCTGTCTTCAAGGCGCGTTACGTTGCTCGAGGCTTCAGTCAGCGAGAGGGAGTTGACTTCTTCCAGACCTTCTCCCCTACCCCGAAGATGACTACTCTTCGGGTGCTGCTGCACGTTGCCGCTCAGCGTGACTACGAGCTTCACTCCCTTGACTTCAGCACAGCTTTTCTACAGGGCAGCCTGCACGAGGAGATCTGGCTGCGCCGCCCACCTGGCTTCACTGGGTCGTTCCCTCCTGGTACCCAGTGGAGCCTCCGCCGGCCAGTCTTGTCAGAATGTGATGGTTGTCTAGCCTGCAGTGAGGTACTCTATAGCGAGTACAGCCCTTCTAGGGTTTGCATATATGTATCCCTATGCTTGTTAGTCAACACCCTTCTTGCCTGTTTCTCGTTTTGGCCTAGCATTTTGACATGCTATCAGAGCGGGTCGACCCTCCTGGGTCGATCCTGTGGGTGGTCCCACCAGAAGCTTCCGCTGTTGTTTCCTGCTGTTTCCTGCCTGCCGCGCGCTCCGGGCGCGCAGCGATTTTATCTTCCCGCCGCGCGCCCTGCCCCGTCACTCGGCGCGTCGCCCCCGGGAGGCGCTGCGACGGGCGACGGGGACCCGCGCGTCGCCCCCCGTCGCCCGTCGTGGCCTGCGCGCGGCCCGTACAGCCGGCGCGCGGCCCGTACGGGCTGCGCCAGGCCCGCGCGCGGCCCGTACGGGCTGCGCCAGGCCCGCGCGCGGCTCGGGCCGCCTGCGCGCGGTTCGGGCGGCTATGCCAGGCCCGTGGGCGGCCCGTTCCTCGCTGCCCCTGCCCTCCCCACTGTCCCCCGTGCTTCTACTGGCGCCCCACCCCTCCTACAGCCCGTTCTCCTGAATTAGGGTTTGGGGGTGAGGGGTATGGGGGTGAAGCCACTGAGTGCCGTTCCCCTCCTCCTCCTCCTTCTCCGTCTCCCACTGCTGCAGCTGCCGCTGAGGGGGGTGGGTGTGTGGGAGCCGAGGGAGTGGCGCTAGGGGGTGTAGTGTGAGCGGTGCTAGGGGAACAGCAGGGGGTGTGTAAAAAGGGGGTGGGACAGCTGGGGGAAGTTGAGAGGAGGCCGTCGACTTGTCGTCCGCAGCGCCTGAAGTCCAGGGAGCCACGACCCCCTGTGGCCTGAGTAGTCCGGGGCTCTGCGCCCGGTAGCTACAGTGTGTGCACTCCTGGGAGCACAGCGAGCCAGCTGCGACCCCCTGTCGCCGTGTAGTCCGGGTTTAGCCTGGTAGCGTCAGTGCGGCGTACTCCTGCTGCCTGTGTGTCTGCAGCTTCAGCCGTCGCCTCTCATCTTCTTGCTCCCACAGTTTCTCCTCCTCCTCACTTGCCCTCTGTGATAGCCTCTAGCTTTGCTTATAATTGTGAACTATTGCTCTGTCTGCTTGTTATGTTGATTGTACCCCACTTTGACTATGGGGGTGTGTCAGAATGTGATGGTTGTCTAGCCTGCAGTGGGGTACTCTATAGCGAGTACAGCCCTTCTAGGGTTTGCATATATGTATCCCTATGCTTGTTAGTCAACACCCTTCTTGCCTGTTTCTCGTTTTGACCTAGCATTTTGACAAGTCTACGGTCTCCGCCAGGCACCCCGTGAGTGGCACGACACATCGAGGACTACCCTTGCGGCTCTTGGGTTTGCGCCTTCGACTGCTGACCCTTCACTGTTTCTACGCACCGACACTTCGCTGCCGCCGTTCTATATCCTCGTGTACGTCGACGACCTGGTCTTTGCTACTGCTGACACTGAGGCACTCGCCCACGTGAAGTCCGAGCTGCAGAAGAGACACACGTGCACAGACCTGGGTGAACTGCGCAGCTACCTTGGCTTGCAGATCACCCGGGACCGAGCACGCCGCACCATCACACTGACTCAGTCACACATGGTGCAGCAGGTCCTTCAGCGCTTCGGCTTCACCTGGTCCTCAGCACAGGCCACTCCTCTGGCTATAGGTCACTCGCTCTCAGCTCTGCCTTCGGATGAGTCCGTAGAGCCGAGTGGTCCTTACCCAGAGCTAGTGGGCTGCCTCATGTACCTGATGACTTGCACTCGTCCTGACCTCGCGTACCCTCTTGGCCTTCTGGCTCGTTACGTGGCTCCTGGTCGGCACCGAAAGGTGCACTGGGATGCTGCGAAGAGGGTACTGCGCTACTTGTGCAGTACATCGGGCATGGGGCTCGTGCTTGGAGGACGGCGAGAGGTGGTCCTCACTGGGCACTCAGACGCTTCTTGGGTTGACGACCAGGCTACGCAGCGGTCGTCACAGGGTTACACGTTCAGCCTTGGCTCTGGTTCTGTTTCTTGGCGTTCTACTCGCTCGTCTTCTGTTCTCAGCTCTAGTTGTGAGGCTGAGATCTACGCCACCGCCATGGCTGCTCAGGAGTTACGCTGGCTCACCTACCTGCTGACCGACCTGGGAGAGCGGCCTCGTTCTCCTCCAGTGCTGTACGTCAACAACAAGGCTGCCATTGCCTTGTGTGAGGAGCACAGACTGGAGCACAGAACGAAGCACATCGCTCTGCGGTACTTTCTGGCTCGAGAGTTGCAGCAGCGTGGTCAGCTTCGTCTTGCACACGTGGCCACTCGGGCCAACACTGCTGATATATTCACCAAGGCACTTCCGTCTTGTGATCATCAGCGCTTTTGTACTTTGTTAGGCCTTGTGCCTACATTTCCACACTTGCTGTAGTCTTTTGTGTGTACTGTGCTCTATATTTATACCTGCATGCTTGCTCTTGCTAGGTATTGATCACTGTACTGCTCTTGTTGCTTACATATATGTCTGCATGTGGACTGGCCTTGCGGCCCTTTGCTTGTGCTCAGAATGTGTGGTGACGTTGAGATCCACCCTGAGCTTGCTTTGCGTCTCTTGACTGGTCGTGTGACCCTTTGTGCTCCCCCACTTTGCCTATGGGGGTGTGTCAAACATATATGCTGCATATTGTCTAGGCTGTAGTGGGGTAGCCTATATGGGGTACAACCCAATTAGGGTTCACTATTTGTACTCATGCGTGCTGTTAGTTCAATCATTCCTGCCTGTGATTTCAACACTATTTACCTGGGAAAGCAAAAGAACGCCAATAGCTAATGGCTGGGAGAATCCAAACTGCTTTGCACTGCTTGACTACTTAAATGTTCCAGAAGCTCGAATTTTTGCTTAAATCTGCCAGGACTAAGACAAATAGCTACAACCCATAATCAACACATGCCGGAAGCAATATTCAGATGCGACCAGAATCCCTTAAAAAATAGGATGAAAAAAAAAAAAAAAGGTCAAAACATTAATTCCGTCCTGTGTGGCACACCCAGCCCACCTCTAGACGTGCATCTGGAAAGCTTTACACCTTCTCATCGTCATCATTGCTCTTGTTGCTCAACGGCAGCAGATAGACCACCGAATACGGCACTGCCACAGCAATGCCTGCCAGGATCGGCGCAAGCCAGTAGATCCAGTGGTTAGCCCACACACCCTGCCACACCGACGTTCCGAACGCCTGTGCGGGGTTGATGGTTCCGCCCGTTAGAGGCACACCCACGGCGGTGGTGGTAAGGATGGTAAGGCCGATCATAAGGGGTGCGAGAGCGATAGGGCCCCTGGGATCCACGGCGGTGGCGAAAACGGTGAAGATGAGAAGCGAGGTGAAGAGAAGCACTGCCAGGAAACCCGTGCCCGATGACGTGCCCGCGGGAAGTGATGCGGCACCAAGAACCCTCTGTAACAAAGTGAGTGGAAATCACAAAGTAACACAGGGGGAAATTTAGCATTGCGAAGAACAAGCATGTGACAATGGCTTACAGGCAGTGATCAAACAAGAAATGGATGTAAGGCAGAGCATAAGGCAAGCATATGATGGGTTAGGGGAGCAGATATCTTGGAAACATTGAGCAGAGACGTACGTTGAGAGCCGAAGGCAGGACGGCAGTTGCGAGGCCGACGCCAACGAGCGATCCCACGAGCTGCCCGACAGTGTAAACGACGGCGGACAGCACGTCAATCAATCCGACGGAGAGCATGGCAACTGTGGTTGCCGGATTTAAGTGACCCCCGGAAATGCCGAGTGTTCCGGCCACAGCGAGCGCGTAGGCGACGCCGTTACCCAGCGCGATGATGACCACGGTTGTGAGAGGCTCGACCTTGGCTCCTGGGGCTGCAGCCAAGAAGCGAGCGACAGAGTCAGAAATTTATTAGAGGAAAGTGGCGAACAATCCAAGGACGATAAGGGCAAGGAGGGATAGGACTTATGCTGTGTAACCAGTTCTACAGTAATCAGTCCTTGGTCCCTCGACTCATTGTCATACGTGAACCATCAGGTTTGGAAGTATGCAAGCTATTACTAGTTAAGTACAGAAAGTTTCCAGGTGCATGCGTCCATGCGTTTCAGAATGCAGCTGCTCAGTTTTAGCCATGAAGTCAAAACCACTGCTGAGTGCATCCAAAGTCATTTCCTCCAATATCCTCCCCATGTGCGCTATTTCAAATTTATCCCACTTCACAAGAACAATGCCAAAGCGGAGTGACTGTTCTGTGAATGCGAGAAGTGACAAGCGACTTACTGACGATGGCTGAGCACAGCACGCCTTGGAAGACGAAGTACATGGTTCCGACAATCTCCGCAATCGCGCACTGAAGCAGCACCATGGGCGCCTTGAACTGCATCCATTGCTTGAACACCTGAGGAGGAGCCATTTCTTCGAAGAACTTTGACTTCGAGTCGAAACGGCTGGGAATGCGAGTCAGAGGCGAAGACGAGACTGTCTCGCGAGACGATGCGAAGACGTTCGGGCGTTGAACACAAATTTGACTTATGAGTCATATTGTGATTCTATTTATGCACGGGTTCGGAGTGCTCTGGCCTCACGTCACAACTCCAGTGGCGTGTGAAGGATAAGCTTTCCCCCCCCAGCCTAAATTCTGGAGGTACGTGAATTGATACGGGACCTGAAGGCGTCCGAACCGTATAATGGCGGCCAGGAGTGTTCTGGACAGGCAGTCAGACTACATTATGTCTGTCCTGAAGACTCAAATAATCTTGGAACAATTGAGAGCCATTCGAACAGTCGGTCCGAGGCGTTGTCTGCTCCTGGTGATTCCCCCCTAGTGCACTTTCTCTCGTGGCGGTGGTTCTATGTCACATGGGAATGGTGCTGATGTCAGAATTGGGGCTCGCTTGGTCAATGGTGGTGGCAGCGACGCGCTAAAAGGACGAGGGGTTTGAAGGAGGAACATGTTATTTTCTTGGCGTCAGGTGCAGTATGCGGGATGCTAACATATATTTTATGTTTCTTTTTTCACTGTCGCCAGTGCTGTATCTCTCAACGGAATCGGGGGTGACGCTCCGTTTTGCCCGGGGTGACGCTCGGGGGTGCCGCTTTCGGGAGCGTCACCCTGCCCGGGGCAGAAAAAAACTAAACCCCGAAGCGACCCGCATGCCATTCGGGAGCCTCAACCCTAAAATTTTAGGGTTGAGGCTCCCGAATGGCATGCCATCCGTCTGGGGGTTTTTTTTTTTGCCCCGGGCAGTTTGTCGTCTTTTGGTTTCGTGTTTGTCGTATCCTCGCCCGCTACGTTCCGTTGATATATTCCAAGCTGTGTAGGGGAGATTGTGAGTGCAATGAACCAGGGTTTGTCTGTGAAAGCTGCAGCTGGCATGAAAAAAAAATATATATAATTTTTTCTCATATTGCCTCTACTTCCAGTTTTTACAACCCCAGCAAAATCAGTAGAGGGCTGTACAGCTGGATTTCGTAGTATGCACACAGGGCCCAAAATTGGTTTAGGCCTACCCTTACAAATCAGGGTACCAGCCCCTCCTTGAACAGACCCCTAGGGTAAATTTTCCCGTAGCCTGATTTCAGCAGGGTAACTAAGGCACTAGGCTGATTTGAGCAGGGTAGTTTTGGGCCAACCCTGTTTTGGTTTAGGTTTAGTGAGATACAATTCTACTAACATCCGAAATAAAGTAATACACACAAAGTCCATTAACTCTTAGAAAGTCTCACATGAACTACACACCTACTCATTGCCACCACCACTGCCTACGTCTTCTACAAACTGAGTCTGTGAAGCTCTGGTGGGGTCGAACTCCCTGGTGGATCGCCTCAGCTTCTCTCCACGAAAGATGGCGACCACCTCAAACCAGTCGACATCGTAGCGCAGCAGGGAGCAACGCATGAGATGCTCCAGGCTTGTCTCGCCCAGGCTGCCACGGCCCCACGTCTTGATCAGATTCTGCTTCGAGAAGCCACGCTCGCATTCGACCGTGCTCAATGGCAGCACGGCCACTGACTGCCACATCCGCATGATGTTGGGGAAGGAGACACGCCATGCATCATCCCGCAGCATGTTCGTCAGCGCCTGGTGGAATTCCTCGTTGTTGTGCTGGGCGAACATTGTGGATGTAAACATCCACAGCTCCTGCTGGGCTCTCTTGTAGTCGAACCCTGTGGTGGGGCGGATTGCGAGTGAAAGCTAAGCCGATGGTCGGAGACACGGGTAGGGGTGGGGGGCATTAGTCCAACAAGCCACAGTATGCAGGATGTGCAATGGTCAACCGCAAGGCAGGCATAAGAGCGACAACAAACATGATAACATGTGCAAGCGCAACGGCAGGCTTACCAGGCAGCCTGTGGTGGTACAGCTTGTGCAGCTGCCCGAGCCACTTCTTGAAGGTTTCCACCCGCTTCGTGTCGTCGGACATGTACGAGGCTGTGCGGAAAAGCTTCGAGCCTTCCAGAAGCTCCAGGTCTCGCATGCGCCACTCCAGCTCCTTGTCAATGGCGCGCACGTACTTGATCGCCAACTCGACGCACGCCGTAACATCGCCTCCCGTCTCGTGTCCAGGCAGCGGGCGCTCGTGCAGCGTGAACTCAAACGTCACGGGATTCCCGTCCCCGTCTACGCCCTCCGCCTTCATCTCGCGCTTGTCCGTTTTCCCGTGACTCTTGATGAACTCGGGAAGCTGCATCTTCTCCCCGCTGCCGAAATGTTGTGTAGGGTCGCGAAGGGAATACCGCGTCTTCAGACGCAGCCTTGTCTGCTGCACGATGTGCGCAACAAGGGTGATGTCCACCTGCACATCGGGATTTCAACCAGATCGTTAGTATTCAAGCTTGCAGCCGACACCACAAGCCACCAACAAACACGCGTACCTGGCGCTGCTGGAATCGGAGGTTCAGGCTGTTCAATTCCCACAGCACATCCGCTAGAAAGCGGATGAGAAAGTGGAACTTGAACGAGGTTACCACCTCGTAGAGCTCCGCCTTGTAGTCCTTCAAGACCACTATGGCCGCAGGTAGCACGTCGAGCAGGCGCTGTATCGCTTCACCGCGGGCGAGCCAGCGTGTGTCGCTAATCCCCTGCGCCTCGAGATTCGTCTGGCAGAAAACCCGCTGCATCTCCTGGAACTTCGAGTAGTCCACGCTGCTGCGGCCGATGTGGTCAGCGAAGGCGCGCACGACATCGTCTATCATCAGCAGGTCAGGTACCTCTTCAGCAGCATCACTGGCAGCGAGTGCCTCCCTGAACAGAATATCACAACAATTGAAGGTTAGTCAACCAGCATATTTGGTATAGCAGCAGCACAGAACACACACCGATGACGCTTACCTATGAGCAATACAATGGGTGGAGGCCAGATGCGGGATGCGCATACGAAGGCGTGTCACCACTCCCCGGTTCTTGCCGACCATCACGCTGGCACCATCGGAGGCGACGCTGGATATCTTCATGAGGTCGACCCCGATACCTGTCAGGTACTGCACGACAGCAGATGTGAGAGAGGCACCGTTACAACGTTCAAGAGTGATGAGAGTCAGGAACTCCGTGACCACCGTGGTGTGCTGGAAGAACGTGGTGTAGAGAATGAGATGTTTCCCATTCACACGGTCCGTGCTCTCGTCGAGCTGAATTCCTATCCACGGGGAGTCAAGCAGGTGATGGTGCTGTGTCTCTTGGAGGTATGTCGACAGGGCGCACAGGTTCTCTTTGAAGCCGTAACTGCCAAGGGACAAGAGTGGTGGTCAGATCACCGTGTATGAATTTAAAAACACATCTGGTATTACCACAGCAGCAAACCACTTACTCAGTGTAGTACGCGCCGTAGCCACCAGCGGGCGGAAGGTCTGGTAACCCCTCCTTCGCCAGAAACCAACACAGCGGGACGAACATCGCTATGGGAGCGTCGGCCTTACATACAAAATGCGCGATGTGGAGGAGCCGAATGATGTGACTACTGGATGCGTCCGTTGCCTGCCAGCGAGTGATAGAAGCCTGCTTCGCCTTCTCCGCCTCCGCCTTCTCTTGGTTCTCCAACGCCTGCTTGTGTGCACGGGATGAGGTGTGAGTGCGGATGCTGCCAATCTGGAGATCCCGCGCTCCCTCACCCCTCGGCCCGTAAGCGGTGTGCGCTTGTGGGTCTCCATGCTTCACACAAATAGCATACTTCAGAGACGGACGGCCGTTAGACATGCGCAGTAAACGCAACCACTTGAAGCTACCTGCCCATTGACCCTCAAAGGTCTTCTTGACCGACTCATACTCAGCATCCGCCAGAGCGGAGGGTGGCTTCGGATCGGCAGAAGGAGCAGAGCGCTTGTGGGGAGTAGCGTTTCGGGGAGGAGGGGCGCCCCAGAGCGTCTGCTGCTTGTACGTTGTTCCCACACGCGGTCGCTTCACGGGCGCGGTGCTGACAGTAGACGGCGAAGCAATGGGCGG